GTATTTGTGTTGTCCAAGATCTTTCGCCTTAAATTTATTGCCCAATCTAACATTTAATTGGGCAATCTGTGGCTCATCATCACTGATGAAAATGATGTCATTATCATACAAAGCAAGGATAATGATGTAACATTTATTTTATCAAAAGAACACTGTATGGTCAACATTGATTTGTTGATATCTCATGTCCACCATAGTCATTCTAAACTTGTCAAATCAAGCTTGAGGAGACTACTTCAAGCTATACAATGACTTTCAAAGCCTACAAACTTATCCCACTGTCTGGATTGTATTGAATCCTGGCGGTATCACCACATATACCTCTTTTAGTAACTCACCATGAAGAAATGCTTTTCACATCAAGTTGGTGTAATCTCAACCCACCATTCACTACCAGAGAAACAAGTGACCTCACCGTGCTCATCTTTGCTACCGGTGCACAGGTTTCGTCGTATTCAATGTCATATGTTTGAATTTACTTTTTTGCCACTGGGGCATTGTACACTCCACATTCTATTTTGGAGTTTGTTTCATTATGAAGATCTACTTGCACCTGACTCTCTTTTTCCCCGTTGGTAGTGCACTATTTCCTATGTTCCGTTTTTATTGAGAGCCCCAAGCTCTTCATGCATAGTCGCTTATCATTTGGGATCCTCCTTAACAACCTGCCAACACTTTGATATAGAGATGGTGCCAAGGATGCAATGAATGCTCCATATAAAGGTGATATGTTAGAATATGAAATAAAGTTAGCAATGGCATGTTCCCACCCATACCGATCAGGAGGATATCCCGCATTGCTGCAAGAGGTTCTCCTTAAAGTTGTGGGGTTAGGAGAAGAGGGAGGAGGAATCATACTTGGGGATTCTGAGTCGGAGGTAGATAGTGTTGGTGTTACAAAGTTGGGGAAGACCTCTACAAGGGACTTACTGACAAATGTCGCACTGCAGGAACTGTTCCCTTATTTTGCTTCATTCTCCGTATTACACCCTTAACTGACATTCAGCCTGAATCCCACCACCTCTGAGATCATTTTCCTCATTTTCTAGTTCCTCAGCTGATTCATCTCACATCACAGGACAAAACATTGCTCCCATGTGTACTACACTCTCACCATTTCTACTCGCCCCCCTTACCTCATATCACTAGTATCTTATGAGTCACTAAAGGGTAAGATCACCTCCTGAGTTTAGTACCGTTCAAATTCTCAAAATGACACATCTATGCTTACAAACAGTCTATTCTCTATCGGGCTCCAGTAAACATACTTTTTTGTGTAACAGAATAACCTACGAATGTAAATTTCACATCTCAGGGATCCGGCTTCCCAAAACAAACACCTTCAATGAAGGGATCCCACTATTATCTCGTTCCAACATCAGATAAAGAAACTTTCAATCAAACACCTTGGAGAGTATCCTATAGATAAATTGAGCAGTTGTCAAACCCGATTGCCCCCATAAAGGTTTTGGGACATTCATTGCAATCATTATGCTTCGGGCTACCTCTAGAAGGTATCTATGTTTCCTCTCTGCTACTCTGTTTTGGGTCAGTGTATATGAAAATGTTATTTGATATTGTATCCCTTGAGCTGACAAGTATTCCTCAAATATTTTATTGCTATACTATATCTCATTATTAGACCTCAATGCATTGTCTATTGCGCCATAGTGAGTCTATATTGTCTTATAGAAATCTTTAAAGCAAGCAAACATATCACCCTTATTTTTCATCAAATGTAACCAAGTAACACGAGAAAAACAATCAATAAATGTGATAAAATAACGATAATCATGCATAGAACTTGTAGAGCAATGTCCTCAAACATCAGAATGTATCGAGTCAATGACACCAGAACTTCTATTCCAAGAACTGATATAGAGCTTCTAATAAGTTTTTCAAACTCACAAGCCTCACAAAATTTTTTTTTATTTATTTACATTCATATAAAGAAGAATACAACCGACTCAATAAACTAAAAGAACATCTCATGCATCTGTGTGTAGCAGCAGCAAATCCTCTACACTCCCATGTTCTCCCACTCCAACACTCTATACCATAGATGTCAAAGCAGAGTTCATCCCCTCTCGGTCAAAGTACCAGAGTCCACTATGCTACAGTCTAATCCCAAGTGTCCGACCCGTTCCTTTCTCTTGGAATGTCACCTTAGGGATATATAAAAAAAATAACATATTTTAATTAGAGAATAATGACATTAATAGGAAAAAATTCACTGGAATAAAACATGCAAAACATTGAACAAAGTCATATAATTGACATCCCTTACTATACCCTTACCAACTACAAGTTATGTTGTACCATCAACAGCATATATGTTCACTAGCAATACTAGAGTATAGGAAAAAAACTCTCTAGCAGTACCTATCACATGTGCAAATGCACCAAAATTTACTATCTATTCTGATGATCTTGTAGTGGAAATAGAGGCAAGAGCATGTATAACATAATTACCTTTGTCAGAGTGAGCATATGCGGAAACGTTACCCCTTAATGATGATTGGTTAAAAACATCCTCAATCGCATCTCCTGCTGCTTTCGGTTTCCTCTTGAACAAATCCAGACACTCGCGATCCTTATTGTTAAAAACCACACCTATCTCTCCCTCCTCTGCTACCATCAAAATTGTCTGGTAGCCTCCTTTTCCACCTTGTCGACCACCACCCTGTCCATATCCTCCCATCTCTCTCTTTTTATGTGGCCTAGGTCAAGTCTTACTCAAATGTCCAACTTCACCACAATTGTAGCACTTGCGAGTCTCCCCCTGGAAACCTATCATACCTGAGCTCGAGGCAGCCAAAGCTGATCGTGCACCAAATTGGCTCATAGTGTTGCTTCATGTGACTCTAGTCCTGTATCACCACAACAACGACCTCATCCTGTGAAGCGATAGTTGCCTGAGATAGGAGGACTGATCTCCTCTGATCAAAAGTAAGGCTTATATGGGTCAGAAACTTCATATTCCTCATCTATGTAAAGATCTCTCATTTCTTGCACTCTGAATCGCCACAGCTCGACATTAGTTAGAAGTGATCAAGAGTTATCTACAGCTGCTCCAGTTCTATGGTGTATTCCTTAGTCGATCTATCATCTTGTACCTTTGCTTCTATCTCTAGTTGAATCTACTCTCATGTAGATTTCAGTCTCAGCATAGATTCTCTTCAACTTTACTCAGATGTCCTTCACCTTTCAAATGTTATCCAGTAATGAAGCAATCAATGGAATCATCGACTTGAGAAATCAGATATAAAGTAAAGCATGTGTGGTACTCCACTCGTCCCCTTCAGCACTGTCACACTCTGTCTCAATCTTGACTCCCACTAGATACCCTATAGTCTCTTCCTTACTATAGCAGTCTCGATCCAACGCGACTAACTCAAATATGTGGCAGGTGCATCAAGCTTCAATTTTACGAGAGGGAGATCTAGCTTCACCTGCATCAGAGTATGTGCTGAAGTGGTGGCTCCCATCGAAATACTAGCTCCTTGTATGAGCTCGACCAAAACTTTCAGAACTTCAGGATCTAGCTTTCCTAGAAGCTTCAATCCTTTAACTCCTACACAATTTCCGTCTCTTGACATCCTCGAACATAAAAATCAAAGTCTAAATCACACAAATTTTGATACACCGTCTCTGTAAGCCACGATCACTTCACGATTTCGACGCCACAGTTCTCTAGAAGCCGCAATCCTATTACTACGGACGGGATCGAAGTGCAGAAGGACTGTCGGTTACCGCCTCGTCACAACTCTGGACGTGATCTCTATCATAGCCTCCTGCTTTTTTACAAGACAAATCAACCTTGAAGATGTAAGCTTCCGGTGTCTCATTCTAGTGGATACAAAGCAAGCAAAGAACAGTGGCGATTCGAGGCTAACCAGCTTCCTCAATCCAAAAATCTCAACATATTTCACCAAAGGCTTCTTCACCTCCTCTGTGGGCACAAGGACACTAAGTGCGCCATTCTCAATTGTCGCCTTTACATTTGCGTTCTCTAGCAGTCGGAATCCGTGCTCTGTGGGCACAAGGACACTAAGTGCGCCATTCTCCTCTGTGGGCACAAGGACACTAACTGCTACAACGAGGAACTTACCACTGCTGCGCTCGATTCGATGTCAGTGATCGCTCTTCTCTTCCTGCTCCTTCCTCTCACCGCTGATCTAAAGTACGTTGCCTTCCACAACCAAACTTAGTTCGCGCGACCCAGCCGGCTCTGATACCAAATAAAACGTATTGTTCAAAAACCTAATATGTTCATTCATAACATGGGCTTGAATAGGGAATTAAAATGTTTTACAAATAAACCTCTAAACTTCTTTAATATTCCCCTTTTACCAATAGGACCCTAAATATGACCCGAATTTCAACATGAGGAAACCCTTCTTGAAACTGAAAATTTGAATAGCAATGCAAATGCAGCTTCCAGTATATCATAAGCTTTAACTTTGCCATAAGTGAGCAGTACCCTCTCTAAATAACGGCGAAAGCACTCCATTAATTACGTCATAATTGCTCTTGCATTACAATTTTCTCCATACTGGGAGTCATAAATGATAAAAATACAACACAACAAACTATATACACTGATGTCAAAGCATAGTAAGACAAACTAAAAAGATGAATAGGGACGTTCTTAAATAATATTTGAAGTGTTGTCTAGGATATTAAGCATTGGCAACAATTTTAAGTTTAATCCACACAACAATCAAAAGAATAGGAATTAATTGGAGATTAAAAAAAAATGCTACCATCCTTAGAAGCATGTGTAGTCATGGTAAAAAGGACTTGATGACTAAAAGAAGAGAAAATAGAGCTCAAATTGAAATCTCGGCATGTCATGTAAATGAAAGGGAAGTAACAAAGTACAAGGAAAAGGTGAACTGCAGTAGTTATGCCAAAATTAAAAAACCACAGAATAAGAATAATTTAACCATTCATAAACTATCTTCATTCGTATTAGATAACATGTATCAGCAACATACAGAAAGGATAGTTCCAAGCTGAAATAACCAGCACAACACCAAGTGGCTCGGGTACAATCTCTGCCGAGGAGGGGAAGGTCGTTAGCATGCTTGACACCTGCATGCCAGTAGTCAGAGCCTGCAAGTCATGGTTGAACCCAGATACACAAACAAAAACTACATCTCCCTTACGTAGTAAAAATTCTAACCCCATTTATGAAGTGATTACCTTCTCAGGTTTCATCCAGTGCTGCAATTCTTTTACAGCCAATGTGCATGAAGACTTTGCAATTGAAATCTGCCATACGCAAAAAAAAGATATCAATGGAACTGAAATGGCCTCAGCTAAGAAAAAAAATAATATGGGCCTTGCTGTGTCCTAAAAAATTAACAGTGATAAAAAATGAGTACATCTTAGCTTGCAAGGAGATCGCACATACCATAAAAATAAATAGACAGTTGCACGGGACACATTGTTGAAAAAAATATACTAATCTACGCATGAAATTATAAAGTTTTCAGAAGACAAAGTATGTGAATATTGCTTTATGGCTAGTGTGGGCATCAAATTATGGTGGGAATCAGAGTTTGTTTATTAAGGCTAGCATTAGATGGTAGACTAGGCGGGTATCAATGTACATCAGTGATGGGAGATGTAGCATATACCAATGTAGTTTAATGCAGAGTCTCACTGTCAGTAGACAGTGCTTTAGATTTCTCTACAAATTGTACATTTTTTTCAGGATTAAATATGAAATTAAAAAAAAGGGAGACCTAGGATTTATTAATTTGAAAGAGAACTTTAATCCTTATCTAAAAGAATAGAAATTATTTTTTAAAAAAATTACCTTCATTTCATTGATGACAGGCCTATAAGTGCCTTACAAGTTACAATCCCTACACTTTATCTATTTATAATATGATCCTACATTAGATACAAATCTCAACAATCCCCATCAAGATGGGTAAACGATATTCACTACGCCCATCTTGTCACATAACCTAGACAAATCTAATGAGCTAAGCCCTTTGATGAGGCAGTCAGCCAAGTGCTCTCCAGTGACTATATGACATAGCTCCAGTAGTCCATTATTCAGCTTTTACCTGATGAAGAACCATCAATCTCCACATGTTTGATTCTATCGTGTTGCACCAGGTTATTAGCAATGTTGATTGTCGACTTGTTGCCACACCACAACTTCATTTGAGTTCCTTGATCCACATTGAGTTCAACAAACAATGTTTTTAGCCACATCATCTCAGCAACTCCTAATTTCATTGTCGTATAATCTATTTCTGTTGTTGACCTTGCTGCAACTGGTTGTTTCTTGCTCTTCCACGAGTCCAAGTTGCCACCAACAAACATGCAGTATCCTGTTGTGAATCGTCTGTCATCAGCACAATTTGTCAGGTCAGGATTACGAAAGCCCTCAAAATCTACATGTCCATTCTTCAAAAATATCAACCATTTTCTTGGTGCACCCTTCAGATACCTCAGAATCTGATACACTGCCATCCATATGACCCTTTCTTGGATTATGCATGTAGCACCTCACCACACTTATTACAAAGAAAATATCGCGTAGAATGTGGCACAAATAGATCAGGCGGCCCACCAGCCTCTAGTACCCTCTCACGATCAGTCAATTCTCCTGCCTCTATACCGAGCTTGACCTTCTGATCAATTGGAGAGGCTACAGTTTTGCACCTCGCATACCTGCCTTCATGAGAAGATTCAATACATACCCTCTCTCCCTTCAGGTCCATGGGCCACTTCAATCCCAAAAAGGTACCTAAGTTGTCACAGATCCTTTACCTCAAAGCTTCCACAATCTTCCCTTCGATTGAGCAATCTCTGCATCATCATCACAAGTGATAATTATATCATCTACATATACAGCAAGTATGGTAGTGTGACAATAATGTTGTCGAAGGAATGTTGTGTGGTCTGCATTGATATGTTGATAACTCATGTCAAGCATCGAGATTCTAAACTTGTCAAACCAGGCTCTAAGAGACTGTTTCAAGTAATATAACGAATTCCTGAGCCTACACATCTTGCCCACTCTCTGGGACGTATTGAATTCTGGTGGCACTCAATATATACCTCCTTCAGTAGCACCCCATGAAGAAAAGCATTCTTCACATTCAATTGGTCGAGTTTTCATCCACCATTCACTGCCAAAGAAGCCAATGTCCTAACTATGCTCATCTTTGCGACTGGTGCAAAATTTTTTTGGTAGTTAATGTCATATGTCTGACTATATCATTTTGTCACTAGTCGTGCTCTCTCCACCTTCCCTTGTGGAATTTAGCTTACTGTAAAGATCCACTTGCATCCTACTGTCTTCTTATCTGCTGATAGTAGTAAAATCTCCTATGTTCGGATTTTAGACAGAGCTCTAAGCTTTTCATGCATCGTCGTTTTCCACTTGGAATATTTTTTAGCAACCTACCAACACTTTGGAATAGAGACAAAGTTCAATGATGCAACAAATGCTTCATGCAAAGGTGAGATGTTAGAATATGAAAAAAACATCGCAATGTCAAGTTCCTGCATTGCTACAAAAGATTTCCCTTAAAGCTAGGGGAGTAGAAGTGGATGAAGGATGAATAATATCACATGAGAGCTTTGAATAAAAGGTATTTTGTAGGTGTCTCAAGAGTTGGGGAAGACCAAGACAAGGGACTTGTTAGCACTGCAAACTCAGTTCCCTCAGTCTGCTCTTCCTCCGTGTATATACCCTTAACTCAACTTGAGCCTGAATCCCACCACCTCTAGGGTCAATCTCCTAGATTTTCATCTTCTCAGTTAATTCATCCCACATTATGGGACATGACATTGCTCTCCCTTGCCCTACTCCATCACCACTACTACTCACTCTTTATTGCCTCATATCTCAGTATTTGTTGAGTCACTGAATGATGAATTCACCTTCAGAGTGTAGTATGATTCAAACTCTCTAAATGACACATCCATACTCACAAAAAGACTCTTATCATGTGGACTTTAAGACATAAAATCCATCTGAGTAGCAGAATAACCCACAAACACACATTTTACAACCCTTAGATCCAACTATCCTACAGATGGTCGGTTATCTTTCATAGAGTACAGATATCTAAATGCCTTCAATGAAAAGATCACATTATTACCTCCTTTTAACATCTGACAAGCAGACATCCACTCCAGCATTTTTAAGGGCATCCTGTTAATCAATTGAGCAGTTGTCAACATTGTTTGCTCCCATAAGTGTTACGGGGCATTCATTGTCATCATCATGTTCCAGACTACCTCTAGAGAATTTTGATTCTTCCTCTCTACTACTCAATTTTGTGTAGGTGTGTATGGGCATGTGGTTTAGTTTTGCATCCCATGAGCTAGCAAGTAAAAACTCAAATGCTTTGTTGATATATTTTGTCCCATTATCAGATTTTCGTGCCTTCACAATTGCACTATCTTGAGTATAAATTGCCTTGTGAAAATCTTTAAAGCAAGCAATCACTTCTCTCTTCAATTTCATCAAGTATATTCTGGTAACACGAGAAAAATAAACGTAACAAACTATCTTACTTAACTAAACCTATTATTAAATATTAGATTTCTTAATTAAGAATAAATAAACCTTACATTTATCTCAATTATCTCGATCTCTTTTGCATAAATTTTGATCTCAATCTCCCTTCAATTTGAGATCTTACTAAATTCAATCAAATTTTCAAATGCACTTAGAATTAAAATTTAAAGAATAAACTTATATATAATTCATTAATTAAATTATAATATAAATCAAAATTTACCTCTTCCTGTAGAAAATCTTCTCTGCATGTGATGCTCGTCTCCCTGCCCGCACGCACGAGCCTTCTCATTCCACTTTTCTTCTTCCTGCACGCAGCACAGTGTCATGGATCTCGCCTCCTTCCTCTTCTTCGATGAGACGTAGAACCAAGCACGACAACACATGAGCCTCTTTCCTTCTTTCTTCTTTGAACTCAGCTTAACTCTAGTATTGTATGTGTGAGGTTGTCTCCTACTCCATTTGGCTAGGGCACAGCGTTGTCTCCTCCTTCAGCTTCGCATCAAAGCGTCACTCCCGACACTGCCTCCAGAGGAAACAAGTGCCTTTCCTTCAAGCATTGAGTTGCTCAACTCCTCCCTCTTCTGCCGCCCATGATCGATCAAGTGTGATAAGCACGACCGGGAAAAGTCACATGATCCTTCTCCTCACTTTCATCTCCTTCAGCTTCTTCTTTCTTCTCGCCTGTTGTCTCTCATTCTCTAACTCTATCTCTCACTTGCTCGTTCTATGTAAGCTAAAAATGAAAGGGCTAAGAGAAGCCCCCTGGACTTCACTTAAATGAACCACATCAACGATTAATTAGAATCAACACATTTATTTATAAATTACATTTTTTAATTTTTTATTTATTAAAATTACAATTTTTACAATCTCCCCTTCTTATAAAATTTTGTCCTCAAAATTTAAAAATATTAGCATAAGAGTAAACATGCCTTAACTAAAGAGTTAAGGGATATCTTTCTTGCATGTTAGAAGCTTTCCCCCAAGTAACATCCTTCTCCGATTTGTGCTTTCATAAAATTTTTACAAATGAAATCTCTCTATTACATAGTTTTTTCACATCATAATCCAAAATCTTTCAGGCTTCTCAATAGAGGTTAAATCAGGTTGTATATTAATTGAGTCTGCTAAATTAGATACTTGTTTTTACACAATTAAGAAAAAATACAAGTGTTAAGAAAAACCATCGTATTCTTGCTATGGTAGTCATAAACAATGGTTGGCCATAGGTCGACAACAACAGACAATTACAACAAGTAGTGGTCGACAATTGGGGATAGACAGAGATCGACGGTAGTTTGTAACTATAGAGGCCGGTAGTTATCATGTCTAAAATATGGGTGTTAAACGTTAAGCCTGTAACTGGGATGCGACGTTTGCAAATAAGGATGATTGTCAGTGGAAAGGGGCCAACAATGATCGACGGTGGTTGGCAGCTACGAAGACCTGGAGTTATCATCGGATTTTTAGTCCAAAACGGTCAATGAAATTTTTCTTCTTCTCCTCCCCCTCAAGTAAAGAGAGAATCTATTTATAGATTTTTGGGGAGGAGTATTTTGGTCATTTGGTGTATAACTTCCCCAATCTCCAGATCGAATGGTTTATATTGATCCTTCTTGATTATAGATGATTTTTTATGATTTAAATGTCTTAATAACTCTGAATTTAACAATTTTAGGCACATTATATTCATATCAACGAGACGCTCGATTTAATTAAAATTAAATAAAATTTGGAGATCATTTGACCTTTCAAATGACGATCGAAAATCTCTGAATACGCTTCAATTGATTGATTTGGCCTTGATTGGACCTGAATTGACACAACTTTGATATTATCGAGTTCGTCTGGTCGAACAGTCAATTTGACTATAAACTTGCAGAAATCAAGGCCCCGAATGATATTGAATTTGAAAATGAAATGTTTATTGTTCAACAATGCAACGAGATTCATGCTAGATGATAAATATTTGTTGTTGGCTTATATGTATGTATGTATACATGTGTGTGTGTATATATATATATATATTATTGTAATAATTTTGGAGTTTACATGTTGTATAGTAATTTCAGGAAAAAAAATAATTTTATATTCTATAGTTTGTAGAAAGGAGCTACTTTCCAACAACCTAAATGTTGAGAATGCTTATCTAATTTTGAAGGATTAAATCAATAAATTGATAAAACATTTTAATAGATACAATTATATTTAATCAATAAATAGTTTAGATTTTTATTAAACTTAGCAAATTTTATAATCAAATTAAAAAATATATATAATAATTGAAGTTAGAATATTAAAATTAGATTTAAGTCTATTTTTAATTTTTACTAAAATATTTAATTAAATTTCATATTTACATTAATTAAAGATGGAATGAATCAATAAAAGACTACCTATACAAGATTTGATAGATGCAACTTCTACTTTTATATATTAAGCACGGGAAGACTCCGTGGAGGAAGAAATTTTTCTGTCAACCTCTTTGAAATATTCAGTGCATATTTCCTCCATCCCAAGATAGTCAGAAATAGTATTGACCTAAGAAGGTGCGATTGTGCGCCAAACTAATAAAATTTACTTTTAAATCTCTTCTGATTTTCAGAAAAAAAAATAATTTATCCATTCATTTTGACAATTGCGCCCTCTTCTTGTCGGTCCATTAGACTATTTTGAGGATTACCTGATTTGAATTTTGATACTTAAAATTGTCATGAATAATGATGCACAAACTTATTACAATTTCAATGGAGTATATTATTATTCTTCAGTTCGCGCAAGCACACGTTCATTTACTTTGAAATCTTCATATTTCCTCTAAATTTAAGCTCCATGACACCGTGTCTTGCTTCAAATAGTCTGAAATAGCTAGGGCTCGTATGATTTACTTGAAGCTAGTAAATATATTTTTAAACATAGTCAAATTTGCTAAATCCAGCATCGATAATACAGCAGTAGTAGTTGTATTATCACAGGCATGCAATAGATGAAAATAAATTATCATAATCTAAAGTCATGGTTCTAAACTAGCAGTCACCAAAAAGCAAAAGAAAAACTTAGCTGCAGCTTTTAAATTATGAAAATCAGAAACTGTGAACCCTCAGTACATAGCAGATAAGCACTGATTTCCTTGCTATTAATCATCCCAACTCACTTCAATATAAATGAAAACGAGTAAAACCCAAATTTGAAGAGAAAAAATGGCGAAAAAATAAAAAGAGAAAAAGAAAAACAAAACCTAGATTCCAGAACTAACGCTTCCTCCACCTATGAAAACAAATCCGAGCAGAACAATAAAAAAACAAAAGGCGAAAAAATCGAAACAGGCAAAAAATAGTCGAACCTCGTGGACAAAAGACTCGAGACGGGGCTTCGAAAGATCGGCGTGAAGCGCATTCAAGATCTCATCTTCCTTCTCGTCGATCATCCTAATGATCCCCTTCAACTGAGAAATCCTCCAGGCGTAGCTCCTCGTCTTTCCCGAACTAAAGCTCTCTCGTAGACTCTTCACCAACTCGCCAGCTCTCTCTACATTGATAGGTTGCTGCTCTTCTTCGCCCATGTCGTCTCCTTCGCTGTAGAAGGACGGAAAAGAGGCGCTGCCTTTCGGAGGAGAAAAAGGAAGAGAAGACAAACGAGGTTGCTTTGTGAAATGATAGAACGGAACTTTTTATATCGCGATGAATGATATGCGCGTCGTCCTTTTTGACTTACCGGTTTATTTGAACTTGGGTTCGGCGCAGTGAGTTTGGCAATTGATAAATTTTTTATGGGCTTCTACGTTCAAACTACATAATTTTTATTTATTTATATATTTAATATTTATATCACAACACTTAAATTCTTGAGGGCATTTACATTATACACCAACCAACTTTATGTATTTATAAATCTAACACTTAAAATTTCATTATACATGTATTCCACCAAAATTTTTAAAATCACATAAAAAATATCAACTTTTTAACTCCTAATAAGTGAGACCTATTTTCATGCATAGAAAAGGACATATGAAAAATCAAGTTTAAGTATTAGATAAGTAAATACATAAGAATTAAGTGGCATGTGTGTAAATCTTTCAATATGTAATATTATGTAAAAATATCATTTGTGTTGTGTTGTGTGCGAGAGATAATTTAATGTATTAGCATTACACGAAGATTCAGCACATACAAATAATTGGGAGGTTGTTGGGGTAAATATAGGAATTTTTTACATGAAAAAAAATCACAAGGTCTAGCCAAGTTAAAGTAATTCTTTGTGGGTGTGTGAGTACAAGGATGCAACTTTTTATCACACATGGGAGAGTGAAGTTATTATGTTATATCAGATACAACACTTATCGGTTACTGTATAGAATAATATAGGTGTTGGGAAAAATCATCGTTTTTTGACTACAACGGTCTTAAGCAGTGGTTGTCACTAGCCAGCGGTCACGACGACAATGTTGAAAGTGGTCGACAACTACAGAGGTTGAAAGTTACCTTTAGGTCTTCAGTATGGGTTTAACACATTACATGCATATTTGGGATGGGACGATTATAAGAAGGGGTCTCCAGCAACAGGAGATCACCTACGCCAAGCGGGACGGGCAACAGTGGTTAACGACTATGGAGGTCTGAAGTTATCGCTGTATTTTTAGTACATAATAGCTATGAAACTCCTCATCTTACCTTTTTTTCTCAAATGAAAGAAAAGGGTCTATTTATAGCATCTATGAAGGGGCATTTTGAACTTTTAGAGAATTAACCTCTCTAACTATTTGATTGAACGACACGTTTTGATCGTACTTAATTATAGCCATTTTTTAATAATTCAAGTGCTTTGATTATCTAAGAATTGAGTGATTTTAGGCTCATTGAATTTCTCTCATCGTGATGCTCGATTTGAATCTAAATATGTCAAATTTGGTGTTAATTTGACCATCCAATTAACAGTCCAAAGCCTCTAAATGTGCTTCATTAACTTGATCTAACCTTCATTCGACTTAGATTGATCCAACTATGGCATCATTGGGATCGTCTCATCGAGACGATCCGTTTGTCTATAAACTTGTTGAGATCAGGGTTGACATGATCTTGAATTTGACTTTATAATATTTATTGTTCAAAATGCATCAAGATAAATGCTAGATGATAAAAATTTCTTAATGACCATCAATTTTCCCCTAATTTTTTACCAATATTTTTATCGTTTGAAAATATAAGTTATTATGAGAAAATCCACATAATTTCAGATATCTCAAAAACTTGTACATTGAATTGAAAAGAAAATCACTGACAATGGTGCTTCATGGAGCTCTAGAAAAAAATCACAATTGAGTTCAGAATGCAGTAAAATGGTGAAGAAGGCATTTCTGAAAAATGTACTTGATCTTGTCTTTGTTGGCACTATCAATAACAGTCATATGTATTTAGGCGCATAGGCATGTATGTATCAGAGCATATGGTCTATACGAGGAAATGAGTAGAATTTTGTGTTTAAGGATGTAATGGGGTACATAAGTAAGTACGAACATGACCATGAGCATAATAATGTGTGTGGGGGCAAGCAGATGCACATACGGGTGCACACATGGGAACATTAGCTTGCACGGGCATATGTAAGTGTGCAAGCGCAAGCACATAAGTGCAGGAACATGTGTGCATGCCCACATGGGAGTGTGGTAGTGATAGTGTGGCAAACATGGGTGGGCTTCGGGGCGGCGCGATGGCGTGGGTCGGGTTAGAGCACGTGGTCTGCAGAGTAATTATGTAGGTTGGGTCGATGGTCATGGGTTGGTGTGGTGGTTGATTGGTGAATCGTATCAGTAGAGGGTTGTGAAATGTTTGCGCATATCTTAGCATGTCATTGTGAACACACCTGTGCGCCTACTAGTGCTTTTTAGAACAAATTTTCAAATCTTTGAATTTTGTAGACTAAATTCTAAATTTTTGTCTATAAATAGGTCATTTGGAGGGGGGAGGGAGAGAGAAAGAGAGAAATCACATTACTCTTCCACTGATCAAAGTGTCTCCTAGGCTACTGTTGCCTCTCCCCCCATATGTTATTGTTATCTTTTCTAACATAGGTTGTAGTTGCCTCCCTCAATGTGGGCTTTTGTTACCTCCCCAGAGTAGGCTATTGTTGCCTTCCCTAAAATGGGTTATTATTTCCTCCTCTGACATAGGTTGTTGTTGTATTTTTGAACTTTGGTTCTTTCTTTGTTTTAATGGGATATTCTTGATGCTTGATTTTCCTTAGAGATCCTAATGTTTAGAGACGTTCACCCCCTGAATGTCACATAAAGTATCAAAATCATGACGAGGGGGTATTAATAATAACTAAAGATGATTTGATACTTTTCTAACAAAAAATTTCACTTTTTAAATGATGTTGTGGTTAGGTTGCTATCATCTAATCAAGCATGTTCGCCTCCACTTTGATACATGATAAATTACAAGGTGAATTTGCACATCAACCAAAAATTTACACTAGTGCGTGAGTTTATAAATTTTATATTAATTATCAAGGTTAGCATTTCGTAGTTCTCTTGTTGGTCCAAGATGATTGTTGTCGTGTTGATCACATTCTATAAAAACATGAGACTAAGTTAATATTGGTTGTCTTAATCTAGATTGATTGCTTTGTTAGTGATGTGTATGGTCATATATCTTTCAAAAGCAAAAATATTTGATATTTGCATGAAGGATCCAATTGCCAGATTTTTCTTCACAGTTTGGCTAGGGATTTTGTCAAAGTCAAGAAAAACTATAGGAGCTCCATATTGGTTTCTATGTGTCGGCACTATTTTTGGTGTGGGGTTTGCCCGTAAGAAGCTGTCGGTCATCGGAATTGAAATCCCGTTGCCCGCTTCGGAAGGACGTTTTAAAAAATTTAGTTTTGAAAAAGATGAAGTCAAACTGACCCCATAATTTTCATAGTTTAGATGAAAGAGCACTTTATCTCAAATCATGTATCTATCCCGAAGGATGAACGCAAGAATTGAGAGTGAGGCTCAATCAAGTAAACTAAAGAAAGTTATGACATCCGGTTGGTCTGCGAAACCAATATATTGGCCGACAAATTCCCCTATTTAATATAAGGAATTAAATAGGGTTTAT